TTTTATTTCTCTACACTTTCATACCTACTTTACTCATATTGCTCTTCCCTTCATGTTCCTCATCCCCAATATTAAGTACAGAGTGAAACTGATACTTAGTAGCTTTTATTCTTATTTCTATTTGGCCAAAAAAAGCTGTGCATTGAGTGACACAATGACATTATTTCATTCATTTTCATTTAGAAGGATGGGAAATGTGGAATATCCTCAATCTTGTATTCATTTTTTTTATAAACATTGAAGAAGGGGTTTTAAAACTGGATTTCAGATTATGTATCAGTAATTCCTTTGATGAATTACTTACAACACATGGTATGCAAACTGCACCATTTTATGATGCATTGTGAATTTCTGATTCAGACATATGTTCTTCCCTTGCTCCAAGGCTACGTCTACACTGCAGGGAAAAGTCGGAAAAAGATATGCAAATTGTGAACCACAATTTGTGTATCTTTTTTTGATTTTCTTCCAAAAGAGGCTTTTCTGACATTTTGTCTACAGACGACAAAAATGTCAGAAAACCCCCCCCCACTTTCAGCACATCCCTTCTTACTCATAGAGAAAGGTTTACAGGGATGCCGAAAAAATGCATCTGCTTTTCTGAATTTTTTTCAGAAAAGCAGACGCATTCCTTGAATGCAGCAGAGCTTTTCTGGGATAACTCTGGTATCCCCAAAAAGCTCTGCAGTGTAGACAGAGCCTTCAGGGGAACAATAATTTACTGTTGACTTAATATTACCAGTAAGCTCCTATTTGTTTTCTTCCCCAGCTACTTGGGCTAGTAAACAGGGGTGGAGCTAAGGCTTCACCAATTCCCCAGCACTTCTCTTCCATTCCCAGAGAAGGAATAAGTAAGGGTATGTCTACACTACCTCGCTAGTTCGAACTAGCGGGGTAATGTAGGCATACCGCACTTGCAAATGAAGCCCGGGATTTGAATTTCCCGGGCTTCATTTGCATAAGCGGGGAGCCGCCATTTTAAAAACCTGCTGGTTCGAACCCCGTGCAGCGCGGCTACACGGGACACGAACTAGGTAGTTCGAACTAGGCTTCCTAGTTCGAACTACCGTTACTCCTCGTGAAATGAGGAGTAATGGTAGTTCGAACTAGGCTTCCTAGTTCGAACTACCGTTACTCCTCGTGAAATGAGGAGTAATGGTAGTTCGAACTAGGCTTCCTAGTTCGAACTACCGTTACTCCTCGTGAAATGAGGAGTAATGGTAGTTCGAACTAGGCTTCCTAGTTCGAACTACCGTTACTCCTCGTGAAATGAGGAGTAATGGTAGTTCGAACTAGGCTTCCTAGTTCGAACTACCGTTACTCCTCGTGAAATGAGGAGTAATGGTAGTTCGAACTAGGCTTCCTAGTTCGAACTACCGTTACTCCTCGTGAAATGAGGAGTAATGGTAGTTCGAACTAGGCTTCCTAGTTCGAACTACCGTTACTCCTCGTGAAATGAGGAGTAATGGTAGTTCGAACTAGGCTTCCTAGGTAGTGTAGACATACCCTAAGTGAACAGTGTTTGGATATCCCAAGCAGAGATATACAATGGGGTGGGTTCTTATTTTCCCAGAGAGGCATGTAGTCTAACACATAATTTAGCTCTTTCTTCTGGCACATAATTTTAATATTTAAGGGTACGTCTACACTACAACGTTAATTCGAACTAACTTAGTTCGAATTAGTTAATTCGAACTAAGCTAATTCAAACTAACGCATGTAGAACTAAAAACTAGTTCGAATTAGTGTTTTGCTAATTCGAACTAGCGCGTCCACATTAAGTGGACCCTGAACCAGGCTTAAGGATGGCCGGAAGCAGTGCCGGCAGGGCATCAGAGGAGGACTTAGAGCGTGGAGCTGCTATCTCAGGCTAGCCGAGGGCTGTGCTTAAAGGGTCCCGACCCCCACCCCGGACAGACAGTTCTCAGGGTGCCCCGCTTGCAAAGCAGTCCTGGCTTGGATTGCCCGGAGTACCCACACTGGGCATATCACAGCACTCGGCCATCAGACCGGCTGCACTTGTCGCAGGCTGCCATCTGGGGCGAAGGGGCAACTGGGGAGCTGCAGGAGAGCTTCCACCCCCAGAAGCCCGCAGATCCAGCCCAGTCCTCCACATCGGGGGCGCGTACCCCATTCCTCCCATACCTCCTTCCACTTACCCTTCCCTAGCCCTTCTTGATGTACAAAATAAAGGACAATTGTGTTCAAAAATGGAATCTGTCTTTATTGAACAAAACTGGGGGAGACTGGGAAAAGGAGGTGGGAGAGGAGAAGAGAGAGGGTGGGAGAGGGGAGGGCAACTAAAATGATCAGGGGTTGGGAACAGGTCCCCTATGAAGAGAGGCTAAAGAGACTGGGGGTATGTCTACGCTACCCTCCTAGTTCGAACTAGGAGGGTAATGTAGGCATACCGCACTTGCAAATGAAGCCCGGGATTTGAATTTGCCGGGCTTCATTTGCATAAACTGGGTGCCGCCATTTTTAAATCCCTGCTCGTTCGAACCCCGTGCCGTGTGGCTACACGCGGCACGAACTAGGTAGTTCAGACTAGGCTTCCTAGTCCGAACTACTGTTACTCCTCATTCCACGGTAGCCATTTGCAGGGTCTGCTGGCTGGGTGCTGGCAGGCTTGCACCTGGCACGGGCATCGTAGCCAGCCCGTGCCCCTTTAAGGGGTCCGGGGCCGGGAGGGGGGCCTCCCACTAGTTCGAATTAAGGGTCTACACAGCCCTTAATTCGAACTAGTAAGTTCGAACTAGGCTTAATCCTCGTGGAATGAGGATTACCTAGTTCGAACTAAGTGCTCCGTTAGTTCGAATTAAGTTTTAACTAACGGAGCGCTAGTGTAGCGCCTATGAAAGTTAATTCGAACTAACATCTGTTAGTTCTAACTAACTTTGTAGTGTAGACATACCCTAATTTAGCTAATTAAATTGAAAAAAGTCACGATTAAAATAAGTATATTTTATCATTTTAGATGATCTGACTTCGACTTATTTTGCAATAATTTCACACTGTAACCATTTCTATTATTTTCTCTCATTCTTATTTATAAATTAACTGAAATTAAAATTCCTTTATGGTAATTTAAATAAAATAAACCTTACAGCTCCTTTACAGTAGAGTCTTAATTTTCCTGTTGGTGTGCGAACAATCACAGACATTCTTTTCCTAGTGCTGGAAGAGAGATAACATTACGGTTCATTATCATCATCACCAACTTTTTCATACATTAATTCAAAATAAAAAACTTGAAAAATTTGCATTTATATGCACATATATTTATAGATACTCATCATACTTATTATATATAAATGAGAGGTAATTAAATAATTGCATCTACTTGTCCTACCTCTGGCTTTTCTTTCTTGTTCATGAAACTAAGGACACACATGAATAAAATTTGGTTACTTACCATTTGAGAGTGTTCTCTCTGTACATCTCCACTTGTAGATAACATTCCAGGGCACACTGAGATGTAGGAGCCTTCAATGAAGAAGTACCCAATAACACCTAATGAGTGCCCTCTCATAGCATACAAAATTTGGAGCAAGATACTAAAAAAGGCAATGCATCCTTGACCAATTCAGCTCCTTTCTTCTATGGGCTTGAGGTGTCACCTTAGGTGCAAGATGCACTCAATTAGCCTCAAGTATTGATAAATGGGATATGTTGGAGGTATGTTGGGGGAAGAAGGGAGCTTGCCTAGAGTGAACTACGTTCTGGCCATCTCCAGCCAGCACAATGAAACCCTACAGAACCTTTAATAGCAGACAAATTAAAATAGCCCTGAGAATGTTCTAACTTATGCTGAGGACTGAACCAGCATCCAGCTGCCCTCAGAATTAGGGTGGGAGGTGGAAGACATCAAAGTTGCTTTTGGGTCTTGCATTGTGTACACCTTGACAACACCCGATGATCTGGACCAAAATGTGCAACTACATAAGTTATAATGTAATATACATGCTAAGGGAATTTTGTCTCAAACCCTCAAAATTCATTCCAGGGATGAACAGAAGGTTCTCATACCCACAGCTGATTGTTGAAAAGAAGAAAGTGGAATGGTTCAGATGCCCATACCTTTTATAATCCTAGTTTCAAATATTTTGGGTGAGGAGAGAACACTTACCCATCACCAAAGGACACTGCTTTATAAAAAGTTCTTGAATCTCAGAGGCATTAAGGGATGCATCTAAAGGTGGAAATATGCAGAGTCTTCCTTGAAGAAAAGATAACTACTTACCCTTGTTACACCTGTGGCTCTGCAAGATGTTGTTACCTGTGAGATCCCACTCTAGGTGCACATACACCCTTGGCACACAACATCAGAACTTTTCAATAGCAATTTCCATTGGATCATGCCTGCATTGTACATGCCTGCATTGTGCATTTTTAGATAAAGGAAATGCAGTGGAGCTAATCTACCTCGACTTTAGTAAGGCATTTGATACAGTACCACATGGGGAATTATTGGTTAAATTGGAAAAGATAGGGATTAATATGAAAGTTGAGAGGTGGATAAGCAACTGGTTAAAGGGGAGACTACAGCGGGTTATATTGAAAGGTGAACTGTCAGGTTGGAGGAAGGTTACTAGCGGAGTTCCTCAGGGATCAGTTTTGGGGCCAATTTTATTTAATCTTTTTATTGCTGATCTTGGCACCAAAAGTGGAAGTGTCCTAATAAAATTTGCAGATGACACAAAGTTGGGAGCTATTGCCAATTCAGAAAAGGATCGGGATATCATACAGGAAGATCTGGATGATCTTGTAAATTGGAGTGATAGCAATAGGATGAAATTTAATAGTGAGATGTGTAAGGTTATGCATTTAGGGATTAATAACAAGCATTTTAGTTATAAGCTGGGGACACATCAGTTGGAAGTAATGGAGGAAGAGAAGGACCTCGGAGTCCTGGTTGATTATAGAATGACTA